AATGTTTGGTAAAATACAGCAGTGAGACCATTAGGTCCTGGGCTTTGCTTTGCTGGGAGACTTTGTGTGTGTGTGTGTGTGTGTGTGACAGAGTCTCACTCTGTTGCCCAGGCTGGAGTGCAGTGGCGTAATCTTGGCTCACGGCAACCTCTGCCTCCTGGTTCAAGTGATTCTCCTGTTTCAGCCTCCTGAGTACCTGGGATTATAGGTGCTTACCACAATACCTGGCTAATTTTTGTATTTTTAGTAGAGATGAGATTTCACCATTGGCAATGCTGGTCTGGAACTTCTGACCTCAAGTGACCTGCCTGCCTTGGCTTCCCAAAGTGCTGGGATACAGTTGTGAGCCACTGTGCCTGGCCTGCTTTGCTGGGAGACTTTTCATCATGGCTTTGTTCTCATTACTTGTTATTGGTCTATTTAGGTTTTGCATTTCCTCATGGTTAGATCTTGGTAGGTTGTATGTATCTAGAAATTTATCCATTTCTTCTGGGTTTTCCAATTTATTGGCTCATAGCCGCCTTAAAGATCTTTTGAATTTCTGTGGTATTTGTTGTAATGTCTCTTTTTTCACCTCTGATTTTATTTATTTTGGTCTTCTCTTTTTCTTAGTCTGTCTAAAGCTTTGTCAATTTTATCTTTTCAGAAAACGGACTTTTTGTTTTGTTGATCTTTTGTATTCTTTTTCATTTCAATTTCAATTTCATTTATCTGCTCTGATCTTTATTATTTCTTTTCCTGTACTAATTCTGGGTTTGGTTTGCTCTTGCTTTTCTAGTTCTTTAAGATGCATAATTAGGCTTTTTATTTCAATATTTTCTTTTCTTTTCTTTCTTTTTTTTTTTTTTTTTTGCTGGAGTTCACTCTTGTTGCCCAGGCTGGAGTGCCATGGCATGATCTTGGCTCACTGCAACATCTGCCTCCTGGGTTCAAGTAATTCTCCTACCTCAGCCTCCCGAGTAGTTGGGATTATGGGTACCCGCTACCATGCCCAGCTAATTTTTTGTATTTTTAGTAGAGACAGGGTTTCACCATGTTGGCCAGGCTGGTCTCAAACTCCTGACCTCAAGTGATCTGCCCACCTTGACATCCCAAAGTGCTGGGACTACAGGCATGAGCTGCTGTGCCCGGCCTCGACTTCTTTTTGATGGAGGCACTCATTGCCATAAACTTTGCTCTTAGTACTGCTTTTACTGTATCTCATAGGTTTTGTTGTGTTTCCATTTTCATTTGTTTCAAGAAATTTAAAGATTTCCTTCTTTTTTTTTTCTTTTTGAGACAGAGTCTCGCTCTGTTGCCCAGGCTGGAGTACAGTGGTGCAATCTTGGCTCACTGCAACCTCTGCCTCCTGGGTTTAAGAGATTCTCCTGCTTCAGCCTCCCTAGTAGCTGGGACTACAGGTGCACGCTGCCACGCCTGGCTAATGTTTTATATTTTAGTAGAGATGGGGTTTCACCATGTTTCCCTGGCTGGTCTTGAACTCCTGAGCTCAGGCAATCCACGTGCCTCAGCCTCCCAAAGTGCTAGGATTACAGGTGTGAGCCACTGCGCTGGACCAAATTTCCTTCTTAATTTATTCACTGACTAGTCATTCAGGAACATATTGTTTAATTCTCCTGTGTTTGTATAGTTTCCAACATTCCTTGTTACTGATTTCTAGTTTTATTCCATTGTGGTTAGAAAAAATACTTGATATAATTTCAGTTTTTTGAATTAAAAAATCTATTTATTGAATGTATAGGACAGATATACATACATACATATATATATATATATATATAATGTTTTTTTTGAGGTGGAGTTTCACTCTTGTTGCCCAGGTTGGAGTGCAATATTGTGATCTTGGCTCATTGCAACCTCCGCCACCTGAGTTCCAGCAAGTCTGCTGCCTTAGCCTCCTTAGTAGCTGAGATTACAGGTGCCCTCCACCACATCCAGCTAATTTTTGTATATTTAGTAGAGGTGGGGTTTCACCACGTTGGCCAGGCTGGTCTCAAACTCCTGACCTTAGGTGATCCACCTGCGTTGGCCTCCCAAAGTGCTGGGATTATAGGCATAAGCCACCACCCCTGGCTGGAATGTATATATTTTTAAGAGACAGGGTCTCACTTTGTTGCTCAGGCTGGAGTGCACGGGCACCAGTATAGCTCCTGTTGGCTTGAATTTTTTGGACTTTTTTTTTTTGAGACAGGGTCTCACTCTGTCACCTAGGCTAGAGTGCAGTGGCATGATCTTGGCTCACTGAAACCTCTGCCTCCTGGGCTCAAGCGATCCTCCCACCTTAGCCTCCTGAGTAACTTGGACTACAGGTGCATGCCACTACACCAAGCTAATTTTTGTACTTTTTGAAGAAATGAGGTTTTGCCATGTTGCCCAGGCTGGTCTCAAACTACTGAGCTCAAACTATCAGGCCACCTTGGCCTGCTAAAGTGCTGGAAATTACAAGTGAGAGCCACAATGACTGGCCACATTTTTTTGAATTTTTAAAACTTGTTTTGTGGTCTATCATATGATCTATTCTTGAGAATGAGCCATGTGCTGAGGAGATGAATGCGTATTCTGCAGCCATTGAATGAAACGTTTTGTAAATATCTATTAGACCCATTTGGTCTATAGTGAAGAGTAAGCCTGATGTTCCTTTGTTGATTTTCTGCGTGGATGACCTGTCCAATGCTGAAAGTGGATTAGTGAAGTCTCCAGTTATTAATGTTGTGGGATCTGCCTCTCCCTTAAGTTCTAATATTATTTGCTTTATATATCTGAGTACTCTAGTATTGGGTGTGCATATATTTATAATTGTTATGTCATCTTGCTGAATTAACACCTTAATCATTATATAAAGACCTTCCTCTCTTTCTATAGTTTTTGTCTCGAAATCTGTTTTGTCTAATGTAAGTATAACTATTCCTGCTTTTATTTTTGGTGTCCATTAACATGAAATCCCTTTTTCCATCTCTTTATTTTCAGTCTATATGTGTCTTTATAGGTGAAGTGTGTTTTTATTAGGCAACAGATTATTGGATCTTGTTTTTTTTTTTTTAAATCCATTCAGCCACTCTATGTCTTTTATTTTATTTTATTATTTCTTGAGAAGGAGTCTCGCTCTTCGACCAGGCTGGAGTGCAGTAGCATGATCTCAGCTCATTGCAGCCTCCACCTCCTAGCTTCAAGTGATTTCTGGCTAAATTTTGTATTTTTAATAGAGACAGGGTTTCAACATGTTGGCCAGGCTGGTCTCAAACTCCTGGCCTCAAGTGATTCACCCAACTCAGCCTTCCCAAAGTGCTGGGATTATAGGCATGAGCCACCATGCCCAGCCACTCTATGTCTTTTAGATTGGAGAGTTTAGTCTGTTTACGGTCAATTTTATTATTGATAAGTAAGAACTTCTCCTGCCATTTTGTTATTTGTTTTCTGGTTGTTTTGTGGTATTCTCTTCCTTCTTTCCTTCCTGTTTTCCTTTTTGTGAAGGTGATTTTCTCCAGTGGTATATTTTAATTTCTTGCATTTTATTTTTATTTATCAGCTATAAGTTTATTTTATCTTTTGAGACAGGGTCTTGCTATGTTTCCTAGGTTGGGTTGCAGTGTTGCAATCTTGGCTCACTGCAACTTCTGCCTCCCAGGCTCAAGAGATCCTCCCAACTCAGCCTCCTGAATAGCTGGGACTAATGGTGCACACCACCACGCCCAGTTAATTTTTATATTTTTGTAGAGACAAGATTTTTAACTTTTTTTCTTTTTGAAATGGAATTTTGCTCTTGTTGCCCAGGCTGGAATACAATGGCACAATTTCAGCTCACTACAACCTCCACCTCCTGGGTTAGAGCGATTCTCCTGCCTCAGCCTCCTAAATTGCTGGGACTACAGGAATGTACCACCATGCCTGGCTAATTTTTGTATTTTTTTTAATAGAGATGGGGTTTCACCACGTTGGCCAGGCTGGTCTTGAACTCCTGACTTCAGGTGATCCACCCACCTCATCCTCCCAAAGTGCTGGGATTACAGGCATGAGCCACCGTGCCCGGCAGAAACAGGGCTTTTTCATGTTGCCCAGGCTGGTCTCAAACTCCTGAGCTCAAGAATTCACCGGCCTCAACCTCCCACAGTGCTGGCATTATAGGTGTGAGCCACCATGCCTAGTCTGTTGGAGGTTTTTTGATTTGAGGTTACTATAAGGCTTACAGATAACATCTTATAACCTGTTAAAGTGATGACACTTAACACTGATTGCACAAACACACAAATTAACAATCAGGAAAAAGAAAACTAATAAAAACTCTACACTGTATCTCTCCTGTTTTTTTTTTTTTTTTAACTTTTTGTCATTTCTATTATATTTTATTATACTGTCTTCGTCTTGAAAAGTTGCAGTTATTTTTAGTAGGTTCATCTTTTAGTCTTTTTACTTAAGATATGAGCAGTTTCTACTCCACACCACAATTACATTGTTATAATATTCTGTTTTTCTGTGTACTTGCTATTACCAGTGAGTTATGTACCTTCAGATTTCTTATTGCTCATTAATGTCCTTTTCTTTCAGATTGTAGTATTCTCATTAGCATTTCTTGTAGGACAGGTCTGGTGTTGATCAAATCCCTCAGCTTTTGTTTTTCTGGGAAACTATTTCTCCTTTGAAGGATAACTTCACTGGACATAACAATTCTAGGATAAAAGTTTTTTTTCCTTCAGCACTTTAAATATGTCATGCTGTTCTCTCCTGGCCTATCAGGTTCCCACTGAGAAGTCCTCTGCCAGACATATTGGAGCTCCTTTGTATATTGTTTCTTTTCCCTTCGGCTTTAGGATCCTTTCTTTATACTTGACCTTTGGGAGTTTGACTATTAAATGTTTTGAGGTAAACTTACTTGGATTAAATCTGCTTGGTGTTCTATAACCTTCTTATATTTAAATATTGATATCTTTCTCTAGGTTTGGGAAGTTCTCTGTTATTATTCCTTTCAATAAACTTTCTACCCTGATTTCTCTCTCTACCTCTTAAAAAATGTAGAACACTTCACAAATTTGCATGTCATCCTTGTGCAAGGGACATACTAATCTTCTCTGTATCATTCCAATTTTAGTAGCTATGCTGCCAAAGTGAGCACTACTTGTTTTTTAGAAACAGGATCTCGCTCTATCCCTCAGGCTGAGGTGCAGTGGTACAGTCATGGGTCACTGTAGCCTGGAGCTCCTAGGCTCAAATGATCCTCCTGCCTCAGCTTCCCAAGTAGCTGGAACAATAGGCACATGCCACAATGCCTGCATAAGCTTTCCTTGTTTGTTATAACAATAAGGAAAACTAACGCTGAAAATAGCTTTCTAGAAGAACTAGACTGCTGGGTATATTGGTACACCCCTGTAATCCCAGCTGCTTGTGGTACTGAGGTAGGAGGATTGCTTGAGCATAGAAGTTTGGGATCATCTTGGGCAATATAATAAGACCTTGTATTAAAAAAGAAGAAAAAAGAAAGAATAAAAACAAAGAAAAAAGAAGAAGGAAGAAGAAGAACAGGAGGAGGAGAAATAGTGTACAAGAGATTGTTTTCTTAGTGATTTCATGTTCCCAGCAGCATAGTTACCCTTAAAGTAAACCTCTATAGTGCTCAATCAATTCTGGCAAGCCTCCCTAAGATTCTTTTTTATGTTACCTCAATTTTTTTTTTCAAGAAAGAAGAATAGAAATGATGAAATTAGTTTTCTTTTTTGTGCGTTTTTTTTTTGACAGACAGGGTCTCACTTTGTCTTCTAGGGTGGAGTACCATGGTGCAAATGCGGCTCACTGCAAACTCACCCTCCTGGGCTCAAGTGATCCTCTTGCCTCAGCTTCCCAAGTAGCTAAGACTACAGGTGTGTGCCACGACACCTACCTAATTTTAAAACTTTTTTTACAGATGGGGTCTTACTATGTTACTGCGGCTGGTCTCAAACTCGTGGGCTCAAGTGATCCACCCGCTTTGGCCTCCCAAAGTCCTGGGATTACAGCTGTGAGCCATGTACCCCAGCCCGTGAAGGCTTTTTTTTTTTGAGGCAGGGTCTTGCTCTGTTGTCCAGGCTGGAGTCCAGTGGTGCGATCTGAGCTCACTGCAACCTCTGCCTCCTGGGTTCAAGGAATCCTCCTGCCTCAACCTTCTGAGTAGCTGGGATTACAGGTGTGCACCACCAAGCCTAGCTAATTTTTGTATCTTTGGTAGAGACGGGGTTTTGCCATGTTGCTCAGGCTGATCTTGAACTCCTGGGCTCAAGTGATCCACCTGCCTCGGCCTCCCACATGCTGGGGTTATGGGTGTGAGCCACTGTGCCTGGCCTTTTTATTTTTTTTGAGATAGAATCTCACTCTGTCACCCAGACTGGAGTGTAGTGGTGTGGTCTTGGCTCACTGCAACTTCCACCTCCCAGGTTTAAGCCATTCTTCTGCTTCAGCCTCCCAAGTAGCTGGGATTACAGGTGTGTGGTAACACGCCCAGCTAATTTTTATATTTTTAGTAGAGTCAGGGTTACATCATATTAGCCAGGCTAATCTCAAACTCCTAACCTCAAGTGATCCATTCACCTCAGCCTCCCAAAGTGCTGGGATTACAGGCCTGAAGGCTTTTCTTTTTTTTGAGACAGAGTTTCGCTCTTGTTACCCAGGCTGGAGTGCAATAGCGCGATCTTGGCTCACCGCAACCTCCACCTCCTGGGTTCAGGCAATTCTCCTGCCTCAGCCTCCTGAGTAGCTGGGATTACAGGCATGTGCCACCATGCCCAGTTGATTTTTTGTATTTTTAGTAGAGACGGGGTTTCACCATGTTGACCAGGATGGTCTCAATCTCTTGACCTCATGATCCACCCACCTCGGCCTCCCAAAGTGCTGGGATTACAGGTGTGAGCCACCGCGCCCAGCCATCATAAAGGCTTTACTATCGCCCATTTCATTACCCAATTTGCCTACACTTGATCTGAGGCAGGAAAAGAAAAAGTCTGTATGGCTTTCAATTATTTCTTCTGCTGGAGAAAAAAGTGATGCTTTAGATTAAAAAAAATTAAAGAAAGGGAGAACTAGAATAGAGGCCAAGGCCTAGGCCATTCCCTCCTTTCGTATACTCCTGTTTGTTATTCAAGAAAAAAGCCCGCTGGGCATGGTGGCTCATGCCTGTAATCCCAGCACTTTGGGTGGCCAAGGTGGGTGGATCACCTGAGGTCAGGAGTTTGAGACCAGCATGGTGAAACATGGTGAAACCCCGTCTCTAACATGGTGAAACCCCGTCTCTACTAAAAATATAAAAAATTAGCTGAGCTTGGTGGTGGGTACCTGTAATGCCAACTACTTAGGAGGCTGAGGCACGAGATCACTTGAACCCAAGAGGTGGAGGTTGCAGTGAGTTGAGATCACGCCATTGCATTCCAGCCTAGGCAACAACAGCGAAACTCTGTCTCAAAAAAAAAAAAGAAAGAAAAGAAAAAAGCCCAATCCTTGTGCTAAATTGTATCAAACTAAGTACAGTTCCATTCACCTTTCACAATTCCAGTATAACCAGACTCCGGGAAGTCACAGACGGAAGATCTAACCACTAAATTATAGGTTAAGGATATTTTTAGAAAGATTACAAATATATATTTTTTACTTTTTCCAAAGTTCTCTTTTCTTTTTAGCTGGCTACAGAAATATCCTCCTCATTCTAGCTCCTGTAACCCTTCTATTCTCTCCCAAGATACAACTCTAATTACTTTTTCTCATGAGCACTGAATTGTGACCTGCTGGGTCTCATGGTTTTAGGTCCCTTTTCCTAAGGTAAAACCCAGACCTAGCTGTTGCCACTGAACTCAGACCACCTTGGGTGAGTTTCATTGAACTAGGTAAAATTTGTCTGTAGCAAACTTTACGTAGTTTCTCCCAAACTTTTTTTTTTTTGCTCTTTTTCAGGTTTCAGTGTGAGGTTTAATACTATGTACATCAAAACATCAAAGCTTTTTTTTTCAGAGAGATATACTGTCAAGTTGAACTGTGGATGTCCTAGATGTCTATCCCGAGTTCTTCTGTGGTTCCAGACACAGCAGGTAGTGAACTGGCAGGAGCCAACCCCACTAGATACCAAAGGGAACCATGGAGGGGCAGTTTAATTAATCACTGTTCTTTTTTTTGGGGGGACGGAGTTTCGCTCTTATTGCCCAGGCTAGAGGGCAATGGTGCAATCTTGACTCCACCACTTCCTGGGTTCAAGTGATTCTCCTGCCTCAGCCTCCTGAGTAGCTGGGATTACAGGCATGTGCCACCACACCTGGCTAATTTTTGTATTTTTAGTAGAGATGGGGTTTCTCATGTTAGTCAGGCTGGTCTTGAACTTCCGACCTCAAGTGATCTGCTCGCCTTGGCCTCCCAAAGTGCTGGGATTACAAGAGTGAGCCACGGCACCCAGCCTTTTAATTAATCACTCTTTTTAAATTTGTCATTGATATAAGACACCCAGTCAAGAATCAGCTGCCAGTTGGTAGGCAACTATAGCCCCACGGTACCCGTAGTGCCTGACATGGGGATACAGTTCTTCCCTAGTTCTAAGTAGGGTAGGCCAGGAATGTGCTAAACAGAGCATTGCCATCTGTAGCCCTCCACATTTCTAACTGTTAATGTAATCACCCATCATGTACCACAAACATGATTATGAATATAATAAAATGTGTTTCAACATAAAACGGTAAAAATTATATATTTAAACTCTATGCATATATACTTTATATTCATAGTGTTACTCATCTAACAGTCATCTGCTCACAAATACATTATTACAATAACATTATATAATAAATACAATATTAAAGATCACTTTTGAGAGCTCTTTCCAGCAAAAAAATAAAAAGAAAAAAATCATACAGTATTATCTACATACTCAAATTTGGATTTCTTATTGCTTTGCAGGTTTCCAGAGTTCAGAGAACAATAGGTAAAGTAAATAAGTAATAATATTGTGTAGTTTAGAGAGTGAGTAATCAGTCTAAAATTTATGATAGGCTGAGAGTGGTGGCTCATGCCTGTAATCCCAGCACTTTGGGAGGCCATGGTGGGTGGATCACCTAAGCTCAGGAGTTTGAGAACAGCCTGGGTAACAACGCAAAAAAGGCCCATCTCAACAAAAATATACAAAAAAATTTTCCAGGCATAGTGGCATGTGCCTGTAGTCCCAGCTACTTGGGAGGCTGAGGTGGGAGGATCACTTTAGCCTGGAAGGCAGAGATTGCAGTGAGCTAAGATGATACCACTGCATTCCAGCCTGGGAGACAGAGAGACCCCATCTCAAAAAAAAAAAAAAACTTATAATAAAATAAAATTAATGTCAAGATCCCTATGCTAACATAATAAACAGATAAATTCTTACCTCTGAATGCCTGGGCACTAGATCCAATACATCTCTTTTGCTCATAGACCAGTGGAATGTGAGCCCAGGATTAGCATTGCTGAAGGAGAAAGGGGTCTGGGTACTGGTAACTCCCATGACATAAACTGGCATCTGAAAAGAAATAGTGGCATTGTGCTATGTATCCTGCCCAGCTGCAATTATCAGAATAATGAGCCCTGAACACAGCCATTATACTGACCTTGGTAGCTGTGATGAGCCGAGTTGCAGCTGCAAGGATCCTAACAGCCCTTAGCTGAACAACTTCAATCTGTACTTCATCCTGCTCAACAGGGTAGAGAGCAAGCTTAGGCTAACAGGGAGTTTCTGTGGGGTGGATAGAGATCCTTATGATAACCGGTTTGTTACTGTTTTTGACATTCAGTAAAAAATCTTATCCATGTTTATTGCAGCACTATTCACAATAGCCAAGATTTGGAGGCAACCTAAGTGTCCATCAACAAACAAATGGATAAAGAAAATGTGGTACATATATACAGCAGAGTACTATTCACCCATAAAAAGAATGAGATCTTATTATTTGCAACAACATGAATGGAACTAGAGATCATTATGTCAAGTGAAATAAGCCAGGCATAGAAAGACAAAGACAAACTTCACATGTTCTCACTTATATATTTGTGGGAGCTAAAAATTAAAACAGTCGAACTCATAAAGAGTGGAATGATGGTTACCAGAGGCTGGAAAGGGTAGTGGGTGGGTAGGGGAGAAATGGAGATGATTAACGGGTACAAAAATATAGTTAGATAGAATGAATAAGATCTAGTATTTGACAGCACAACAGGATGACTATGGTCAACAATAACTTATTATTTAAAAATAACTAGGGAGTAAAATTGGATTGTCTGTAACATAAAAAGGATGAATGCTTGAGGTGGTGGATAACCCATTTGCCCTGAGGTAATTAATATGCATTGTATGTCTATATCAAAATAACTCATATACCCCATAAATACATATGTTATTATGTATAACAAACATTTGAAAAAAACATATTAGATAGATGTATTTGTTTTTCTCTTCTTCAAAGAATTCTTTAAGGACGGGGACCATATCTTATAACAATGCCAAGTACTCTGTGGAGTTTTAACTAAAGATGAAATATTTTCCATGCCTGGTTGACAGAATGCCAGATGGGGGCACTAAAAGGGTTTTCCTGGGCTGCTGACACCCTCCTCATTCCCACCCCCTCCCCATCTCACCCAATATGGTTCCTGGATAGAAGAGTAGAAGCAGAGCAGTGCAAATAACCAATACCTGGGAAAACACAATGACTTTGCCAGTATCTTCATTTACTGTCTGCATGGTGCCATGAACCACAGCTGTGCCAACCGTCTTCCCTGTAACTTGCCCCCTCCTATTAACAGCAGCCACAGTCTGATTACTGATGGAGAAATGAATGATGGATTGGGGCTGGGGACCACCTTCAGACATTACCTGGAATTTAAATATACCACTGAATGCCTAGAACATGAGGGAGAAATCATATGTCTTTTCCCAAAATTTTGTCAAAGAAACTTGACTTCTTCATCTCCCATTTCTTGAATAACATATCCCATATCAACTCAAATGCAGAAGAAATGGAAGTACCGAAAATATCAGAGTAGATAAGAGATCAATAGGAAGAGGGGCGTGTGTGTGTGTGACAGAGAGAGAGAGAGAGAGAGAGAGAGAGAGAGAACTAAAGATAAAATGTAAATCTTATTTTTCTGCCTTTAAGTTTACCTGCATCATATTTGTTGGAATCAGTGTCATTTTCTCTGGAAGAAGTCTGAATGGAGGAAACACCTTGAAGAAGAAAACCGTGGACAACATAACTAACTAGAGTCAATTTTATAATACATAATCATGGTCATTAAAAAAATATTTTTTTTTGTTTTGAAACAGAGTCTTGCTCTGTTGCCCATGCTGGAGAGCAGTGGCATGATCACAGCTCACTGCAGCCTCGAATGGCTGGGCTCAAGCAGTCCTCCTGCTTCAGTCCTGAGTGGCTGGGACCAGAGGTGTGTACCACCATGCCTGACTAATTTCTTTTTTTTTTTCAGATGGAGTTTCACTCTATCACCCAGGCTGGAGTACAGTGGTGTGATCTCGGCTCACTGCAACCTCCACCTCCCGAGTAGCTGGGATTACAGGTACTCACCACCAAGTCCAGCTAATTTTTTGTATTTTTAGTAGAGATGGGGTTTTACCATGTTGGCCAGGCTTGTCTTGAACTCCTGACCTCAGGTGATCCACCTGCCTTGGCCTCCCAAAGTACTGGGATTACAGGTGTGAGCTACTGCACCTGGCCATACCTGGCTAATTTCTTAATTTGCTGTAGAGATGGGGTCACCCTACGTTGCCCAGGCTGGTCTCAAACTCCTGGGCTCAAATCATCCTCCTGCATCAACCTTTCAAAGTGCTGGGATTACAGGCATGAGCCACCAACCCCAGCCCATCATCAGTTACACACCAAGATATGTAATTTTATTTATAATAGCAAAAAATTTAAAAGTACTTAAGTGGGAATACTTAAATAAGTTATATATCTATTCACTAGAGTAAAAGTGACCACTAAAATTATGTTTTCAGTTAACTTTCTTTTTTTTCTTTTTTTGGAACACATATAAAAGTAGAACAGCTGGGCCGGGCACAGTGGCTCATTCCTATAATTCCAGCTACTCAGGAGGCTGACACAGGAGAATCGCTTGAAACCAGCAGGTGGAGGTTGCAGTGAACTGAGATTGTGCCATTGCACTCCAGCCTGGGAGACAGAGTGACACTCCGTCTCAAAAACAAAAAACAAAAATAAAAAGCAATGGTTGCCTCTAAGTAGTGAAATTACAGGTGATTTTCATTTAATATCTTTAAAATTTGTGCTTTCCAAATTTCATTTTTTTTTCTTTTTTTAAGAGACAGGGTTTCATTCTATCACCCAGACTGAAGTGCAGTGGCATGATCATGGCTCACTGCAGCCTGGAACTCCTGGGCTCAAGTGACACTCTTGCTTCAGTCTCCCAAGATCTGGCACCATAGGCATGTACCACTACACATGGTTTTCCACATTTTCTATAAGAACTGTTTTATATAGAGAAACGAAAACCAAAAATACTGCAGGTGTGCAAGAGTTAGATACTATCCTTTTTTTCAGTCAAGTGATTTTTTTTTTGAGACAGGGTATCTTTCTCTCACTCAGGCTGGAGTGGCACAATCACAGCTCACTGCAACCTCAACCTCCAGGGCTCAAGTTACCCTCCTACTTTAGCCTCTTGAGTAGCTGGGACTACAGGCAAACCACCGCGTTTTGCTTATTTATTTATTTAAGACAGAGTCTTGTTCCGTCGCCAGGTGCCAGGCTGGAGTGCAGTAGGGCAATCTCGACTCACTGCAACCTCCGCCTCCCAGGTTCAAGCAATTCTCCTCCCTCAGCCTCCCGAGTAGCTGGGACCACATGCCACCATGCCCAGCTAGTTTTTGTATTTTTAGTAGAGACGGGGTTTCACTATCTTGGCCAGGATGGTCTTGATCTCTTGACCTAGTGATCCACCCTCCTTGGCCTCCCAAAGTGCTGGGATTACACGTGTGAGCCGCCACACCTGGCCGCTAATTTATTTTATTTTACTTTTATTTTTTGTAAAGATAGACTCTTACTATGTTGCCCAGGCTAGTTTCATACTCCTGGGTTTAAGTGATGTTCCTACCTCAGCCTCCCAAAGTGCTCACATGGTGGTATGAGCCACTGTGCCCAGCCAGTCAAATGATTTTTAACTTATATAAACTAACAGAAAAAGACAAATGATGTTAAGGAAGAAAAAGTACAAATTTTGGGTGAGATAATTTCCTTACTTCAATGTGCTGAGGAGCTGATATGTATTTTCTTCCCATCTTGTCCCTGGCAATTGCCACAAGTGTGGTTTGCCCAACAATGATAGCTCGAAGGATATAATTTTCAGAGTATTTGTCTTGTTCCTCCATTAGCCTGCAAAAACCCATGTATTCTCAAGTGAGAAAGATTTTTGTTTTGTTTTGAGACAGGGTCTTACTCTGTTGCCCAGGCTGGAATACAGTGGCATGATCTCGGCTCACTGCAGCCTCAACCTCCCAGACTTAAGGTATCCTCCCACCTCAGCTTCCCAAGTAACTGGGACTACAAGTACATACCACCATGCCTGGCTAATTTTCTTATATTTTTGTAGAGCCAGGGTCTCACTGTGTTGCCCAGGCTGGTCTTGAATTTTGGATTCAAGCAATCTGCCTGCTACAGCCTCCCATCGTGCTGGGATTACAGCATCAGCTACCATGCCTGGCCAAAATTAGGTTCTGAGAGTGGCCAGTGGTGTATCTTTCCAAGGTGCTTAACATTTTTGCTAATTTTAACTCTGGGTTGGGGGAACTGCCAGAAAATAAATGTCCAGTGTAAAGACAAATTTCATGGGAATGGCGGAAGGCTCCTGAGAGGCAAAAATTTGTTCTAAGGCTCCAGAGGGATAAGGAAATATAAACAAAGACTGGTAAAATTGCAAATACTAAATTGCTTGGAATTCCTGAATTTCTCCTTTCTCAGAGGGACTACCAGTACCTCTGCCTCTAAATATATTTTTGAAGGGTCCTCTAGCCTGAAACACCCCCAAAGGACATCATCCAAGGAGATGTTTCAGAAAATGGAAATATTAACGACACATGATCTTAGACCCAAAACAAGGCATCTGAGGACGTGTGTGCGTGTGTGTGTGTGTGTGTGTGTGTGTGTGCATGTATTTTAAGAGATGGGGCCTTGCTATGTTGCCCAGGCTGGAGTGCAGTGGCTATTCACAGGTACAATTATAGCACATCATAGCCTCTTGCTCCTGGGCTCAAGTGAGTCCCCCGCCCTAGCATCCTGAGTAGCTGGGACTACAGGCATGGACCTTCATGCCAGGCTCAAATGGGTATTTTGTAGAAAGTTGCATATAGGAAGAGAGTATATGCGCTGAAATATATTCTAACACAAAAGGAAGGGAGAAAATCTGAAACAATCTAAGGAAAAGCTGACTAGGTTACAAGGAGGGAGAGTTTTATGATATTATGCGTAGGGAGAAGGAAATATTGAAATGGTACTTACTTTAGCAGATGATACTCTACTAAAAAAAAAGAAATGATACTTACGTCAGGGTGACAATGGCAGAAGCCAATTGCAGTTTGAGCTCCATGTTTCTGAAGTATTTATTTAGGAACGGGCGTTTGGAAGAGCCAAGAACCCTCACAGTCACTAACACAGTTTTGCCTATCTCAACCTAGTAGTTAAAAAGGAAAAGATTTTTAAGTCCTAGGACCTGACAAGAAAAAAAAAAACAAAAAAAAACGAAAAAGATTTTAGTAAAGGTGTCTTATTCACCAATGGCAGTCTAACTCTTAGAGGGCGGCGAGCTTTTCTTTCATGCTAAGTGATTCTGGTCAGCCTTTAATCAAATAAGCTTAATCTATGTGCATTGTTTTAAGTAGTTCTTTAACAGTCTATTTATCTTCATCTGTTTAATGTTGAAATGTTTTCTTTCTTTCTTTCTTTTTTTTTTAAGACAGAGTCTCACTCTATCACCCAGGCTGGAGTGCAATGGCATGATCTCGGCTCACCGCAACCTCCACCTCCCAGGTTCAAGTGATTCCCTCAGCCTCCCAAGTGGCTGGGATTATAGGCATGGCCACCACAGCCGACTAATTTTGTATTTTTAGTAGAGACAGGGCTTCTCCATGTTGGTCAGGCTGGTCTCCATGTTGGTAAGTGCTGGGATTTCAGGCATGAGTCACTGTGCTCGGCCAGGAAATGTTGTTAAGGGCAGGTATTTCCATTAACATTACCAGAAGTCCTGGTATACACACACAGTAGCTGAGCAGAGACTATACTAAGGGTTGCTGGGGACTAAAAATAAAACTTGCCTAATTTCTGAGATAAAGCAAAGATGTCTCACCTTATCAATCAGATCAAGCTCCAGCTCTTGTATGTCTGACACCATGAGATGGGCTGTTGCTGGACCCAAGAAAGCCAAACAAAGATCATACACCTCCAAGACAAGAAATCCAGGATGTAATGGAACTAACTAGAAGTAAGAAGATGGTAGCTGGATAAAGAAGCAAACATACTCCAAGCATAATCAAAGCAACTATTTTTACCCAAAATAGAAAAGACAACATCTTGCTTTCTTTGAAGTGGTGACTCTCAGAGGTCATGTAACATTATTCGGGCGTAGCACAATAGGTACCCTTAATGTGATGTTTCCGATCATGCCAAAATATGTACCTTAACAATTATAGGTTGGGTGAAGTGGCTCATGCCTATAATCCTAGCACTTTGGGAGACCGAGGCAGGAGGATCGCTTAAGCCCAGGAGTTTGAGACCAGCCTGTGAAACAAAGCAAAATCCTGGTCTCTGTAAAAGCTTAAAACAGAAAATTAGCAAGGCTGGGTGTGGTGGCACATGCCTATAATCCCAGCACTTTGGGAGGCTGAGGCGGGAGGATTGCTTGAGCCCAGGAGTTTGAGACAAGCCTGGGCAACATGATGAAACCCTGTCTTTACCCAAAACAAAACAAAACAAAACCAAAATTAGCTGGGCATGGTGGTGTGTGCCTGTAGTCCTAGTTACTCAGGAGACTGAGGGAGGATCACTTGAACCTGGGAGGTTGAGGCTGCAGTGAGTTGAGATTATGCCACTGCACTCTAGCCTGGGAAACAGAGTGAGATCCTCTCTCTCAAAAACAACAACAACAAAAATTAGCTGGGCATGGTGGCACACACCTGTAATCCCCATTACTCAGGAGGCTGAGGCGGGAGAATCACTTGAGTCTGGGAACTCAAGGCTACAGTGAGCTATGATCAGGCCACTGCACTCCAGCCTGAACAACAGAGTAAGACCCTATCTCTACAAAACAAAACAAAACAAAAAGCAAATAGTAAAGAATAGAATTTATGTTGATTGAATTCAAGCAGAATCCAACATACATATCCAGCTTCTTAATTGTGAACAGGGAAAGGATGTCATGAAGAAAAATCACATCCACATATGCCACAGTCACTAGTAGGGGACGAAAGCATTGGAACAACTAACACTGGTTTTTCTTTCTTTGTACTACAGTTCCTGCACAATAGCATGTTTTTTTCATATCATTTGTACCTCAGTCTTCCCTTCTTAAAACATATATTATGACTAGGATAAGTTAAGTTACTTTGAGTTCTAAGGAACTATATACATATTTTAATACATGGTATTATTTTTATTACTGTAAGTCAAGTAAAAACAAATCCTTTGGCATACTGACTATGGAGTTAGGTTAATGTTTTGAGTTGTCATGTCCTGGCTGAAAACATTATATACTCATGTTATAAAGTCAATAGTGGCTGGCCACGGTGGCTCACACCTGTAATCCCAGCACTTTGGGAGGCTGAAGTGGACAGATCACTTGAGGTCAAGAGTTGAAGACCAGTCTGATTAACATGGTAAAACTCCATCTCTACTAAAAATATAAAAGTTAGCCAGGCATGGTGGTGGGCACCTGTAATCCCAGATACTGGTAAGGCTGAGGCAGAAGAATCACTTGAACCTGAAAAGTGGAGGTTGCAGTGAGCTGAGATTGCACCACTGCACTCCAGCCTGGGCAACAGAGTGAGACTCTACCTCAAAAAAATAAAGTCGGGCCAGGTGCTGTGGCTCATGCTTGTAATCCCAGCACTTTGGGAGGCCGAGGCAGTGGATCATGAAGGTAGGAGATCAAGATCATCCTGGCCAACTTGGTGAAACCCCACCTCTACTAAAAATACAAAAAATTAGCTGGGCATGGTGGCATACACTTGTAGTCCCAGCTACTTGGGAGGCTGAGGTAGGGGAATCACTTGAACCGGGAGACAGATGTTGCAGTGAGCCGAGGTCGTGCCACTGCACTCCAGCATGGTGACACAGCGAGACTCCATATCAAAAATAAATAAATAAATAAAAGTCAATAGTATAAATATTTAAGTGTCTACACAGATGTGTGTTTTGAAACTTATAAAAATAAAACTTCTTTTAATGGAAATCGTCTAACTAGAGATCTCTTATACTGTCTCAGTTCCACCAGAAGCAAAAAAACTGCTTACTTTTGGTTGAAGCATGTATGCAGGTTAAAGAAAGAGAGGCGGGCTGGGTGCGGAGGCTCACGCTTGTAATTCCTGCACTTTGGGAAGCTGAGGCAGGTGGATCACGAGTTCAGGAGATCGAGATCATCCTGGCTAACATGGTGAAACCCCATCTCTACTAAAAATACAAAAAATTAGCTGGGCCTGGTGGTGTGCGCCTGTAGTCCCAGCTACTCTGGAAGCTGAGGCAGGAGAACTGCTTGAACCCAGGAGGCGGAGGTTGCAGTGAGCTGAGATCGTGCCACTGCAATCCAGACTGAGCGACAGAGAGAGACTCTGCCTCAAATTAAATAAATAAATAAATAAAGAGGCAAATGTTACTTCTGTAACAAGTTTTAGACACACAATGGAATTTTTCCAATTAATCTCTAAGAATGAGCTTTGGCCTCAGACCATCAATCTGGGATTATCTCTAGAGCTCACCTCAACAGAGCTTTCTGCTTCCATGTAAATGATGGTGACAACATCCTGCTCACTGCTGTTTACTAAAAAATAACCAGATCCTTCCACAAGGGTAAATATTTCCTATGGAAAAATCAGACAAACAATATTCTGTTTCCTTCAGTTTATAAATACCTCTAAGGAAATAATTTCTACCTACCTAAGCAAGAATATGGGATAAAAAGATTAAAGTAAATGCACAAAAGACAAAATACAATTATTAAAGTATAATTTTTAAGGATGGTGCAACTATTATATATGTGTTTTACATATATATATCAGTTATTTTCAACACATAAGTGAGCTTTTTAATTGTTATACTATTAATTTTAGTAATTTCCCCTCCAATATAATTCTATTTAACTAGAGTCATACAGTTTCTACCTTCACATCAGGGTGGTTATAGATGGTGGCATTCTCAGGCACTACAGTTACATCATCTACCAGGAGCAGCTCCACAGTTGTAGATATGGACAAGTTGGAAACTTCCTAGAAATATAATAAGAACCACAAAGGTGAATAGAAGTGTCTAATTCTTGACTGGGTGCGGTGGCTCACACTTGTAATCCCAGCACTTTGGGAGGCTGAGGCGGGCAGATCATCTGAGGTCAGGAGTTCAAGACCAGCCTGGTAAACATGGTGAAACCCCGTCTCTACTACAAATACAAAAATTAGCTGAGCATGGGGGTGGGCACCTGTAATCCCAGCTAGTTGGGAGGCTGAGGCAGGAGAATCACTTGAACCCAAGAAGCAGAGATTGCAGTGAGCCAAGATATTGCCACTGCACTCCATCCTGGGTGACAGAGTGAGACTTCATCTCAAAAAAATAATAATAATAGGCCGGGCGCGGTGGCTCAAGCCTGTAATCCCAGCACTTTGGGAGGCCGAGGCCGGTGGATCACAAGGTCAACAGATCGAGACCATCCTGGTCAACATGGTGAAACCCCGTCTCTACTAAAAATACAAAATAAATAAATAAATAAATAAAATAATAATAAAATAAATGTTTAATTCTTAAGCTCTATGGGAGAAGTTTCCAGGACTCTCTCAAGTGCCAAAAATAACAGAATCACAGAGGTCTCAGGTTTATGTAAGTTGTACAACTTTTAAAGAATAGCTTTACATTCCAATTATTTAATTTATATTTCCTATATTACAATCTTCACTCACTTTTGCGCTTTTCTTCTCTAAGTAGCCCACAAAATGGACTTCAATGAGTACAGTCCCTTTTATCTGATGTACTTTAAGAATCTGATGACCTGGAAACATGCAGAAAAATACCCTGTGAGAAACAATAACATGTAGAATATGCAAGTATTTCTAGAAAACCAAATTCTGCCACAGTTTTTCCAAATGGTACTTTATTGAAGAGGAGAAAAACTCTGAATGGGGAAATATACAAGAGAAAACTGTTTTTGTTTCTGTTTTTCTTTTGAGATGGAGTCTTACTCTATCATCCAGGCTGGAGGGCAGTGGCATGATTTCTGCTCACCACAACCTCTGCCTCCTGGGTTCAAGCAATTCTCCTGCCTCAGCCTCCCGAGCAGCTGGGAGGTGTGCCTCACATGCCCGGCTAATTTTTGCATTTTTAGTAGAGATGGGGTTTCACTGTGTTGGCTAGGTTGGTCTCGAACTCTTGACCTTGTGATCCTCCTGCCTTGGCCTCCCAAAGTGCTGGGATTACAGATTTGAGTCACCGCGCCTGGCCTGAAAACTGGGTTTTGAGCTGACCCTGCCAATATGTACCCATATGACCCTGAGCAAACACTTTATCTCTTAGTTCCTTTATTAAATGAGGGACTGGGCCAGGCAAAATCTAAAAATCTTTCTAACTTTGATGGTCTATGAGTCCAACATAGACTGACAAGTGTACATGGAAATTTTTGTCCAGTTTACAATGGAAATGAGAAAGTGACAGTCCTTTGGGATCTTTCATTCTCCTAAACTGTTCTCTATATGCAAAAGTTATGTAAGTCACTTAACAGAGTTTTTAAATGGCTAACTATTCTTAATTACATCAATCCAAACTCCTTAAACTTGTATCTGAAGGCTTCCATATTCTGACTCTTCTTTAATCATTCAATTTTCTTTCCTCTTTCTCTCTTTTCTCCCCCACCATTTTTTTTTTTTTTTTTTTTTTTTTTTGGTGACAGGGTCTCACTCTTTCACTCAGGCTGAAATGCAGTGGTGCAATCACAGTTTACTGCAACCCCTACCTACCCAGCTCAAGTGATCTTCCCACCTCAGGCTCCCAAGTAGCTGGGACCACAGGTGCATGTCAACATGCCTGGCTAACGTTTTGTAGAGACAGAGTTTTGCTATGTTACCCAGGCTGGTATTGAATTCCTGAGCTCAAGTGATCCTCCTGTCTCAGCCTCCTAAAGTGCTGGGATTATAGGTGTGAGCTATTGCACCTGGCCTTTTTAAAATTTTTTTAATTTAACAAACATGAATCTGCCACTTCACTTAGGTCAGTTTTTTTTTTTTTGAGATGGAGTTTCGCTCTTGTTACCCAGGCTGGAGTGCAATGGCATGATCTTGGCTTACCGCAGCCTCTGCCTCCTGGGTTCAGGCAATTCTCCTGCCTCAGCCTCCTGAGTAGCTGGGATTACAGGCACGTGCCACCATGCCCAGCTAATTTTTTGTATTTTTAGAGAGATGGAGTTTCACCATGTTGACCAGGATGGTCTCGATCTCTTGACCTCGTGATCCACCCTCCTCGGCCTCCCAAAGTGCTGGGATTACAGGCTTGAGCCACCGGCCCGGCCCAGTTTTAATTTTGTTCTCAATATATTATCATGCCTAAATCTGTGAGGCAGTTTCTCATGATGCCACATTCATTCAACAAATATTTATTGAGGGCCTACTACATGCCAGTTGCTATGTTAGGTAATTAGAATATAGAAATTAAGAAGAAAACACAATCCTTGCTTTCAGAGAAACCCACAGTTTAGTGAGGAGTGACTGAGTAGTAAACCAACCACTGCAATACAGTGTCATAAGTGGTATTATAGAAATACGTACAGCTGGGCTCTGTGGCTCACACCTGTAATCCCAGCACTTTGGGAGGTCAAGGCGGGCGGATCACGAGGTCAAGAGATGGAGACCATCCTGGCCAACATGGTGAAACCCCATTTCTACTAAAAATACAAAAATTAGCTGGGTATGGTGGCACAGGCCTGTGGTCCCAGCTACTTGGGAGGCTGAGGTGGAAGAATCACTTGAACCCAGGAGGTGGAGGTTGCAGTGAGCCAAGATTGTGCCACTGCACTCCAGCCTGGGAGACAGAGCAAGACTCCGTAGGGAAGAGAAGGAGAGGAGAGGGGACAGGTAGGGGAAGGGGAGGGAAGGAGAAGGGAGGGGAGGGGAAGGGGAAGGGAAGGGGACGGGGAGGGAGGAGAAGGGGAGGGGAGGGGAAGAGGAGGGGAGGGGAGGGGAGGGGAAGAGAAAGGGGAGGGGAGGGGAAGGGAAAGGGGAGGGGAGGGGAGAGGAAGGGGAGGAGAATGGAAGGGGAGGGGTGGGGAGGAGAGGGGAAGGGGAAGGGGAATGGAGGAGAAGGGAAGGGGAGGAGAGGGGAAGGGGAAGGGGAAGGGAGGGGAAAGGAGGGGAGGGGTAGCTTACATTAGTGAATAGGACATCAGCAAAAGTGACACAAGCAGAAGCTTAATAAGCCCTTGGGCAATTAAAAAAGAGGGGAGGGGAGGGGAGCGGAGGGGAGAAGAGAAGTCAGGTGCAATGGCTCAGGACTGTAATCCTAGCACTTTGGGAGGCTGAGGTTGAGGATCACTTCAGGCCAGGAGTTTGAAACCAGCTTGGGCAACATAGTGAGAACCTGTCTTTACAAAAAATTAAAATATTAGCTTGTCCTGGTGGCATGCACCAACAACAGTCCTAGGTACTAGAGAAGTTGAGGCAGGAGGATCACTTTAGTCCAAGAGTTTGTGGTTGTATTAATTTGTGATCTGCTCCACTGCTCTCCAGCCTGGGAGACAGAAAAATACCCTGTCTCTAAAGAAAAATAAATACATTTTAAAATTAATTTAATGTTGGCTCCTTAGCCTTAGCTTTGTAAACAAGGAAAACTGCCTTCGTGTTTTCTAAAAAATACAAGGGTCAAAGATAAAAGGTGATATGTGATAAAATCCAAAATAAAACTCTTGCCCATAAGAAAATATTTAGGGCTGGAGTGGTGGCTCATGCCTGTAATCCTAGCACTTTGGGAGGCTGGGGCAGGTGGATTGCCTGAGCTCAGGAGTTCGAGATCATCTTGGGCAACATGGTGAAATCTCGCCTCTACTAAAATACAAAAAATTAATTGAGCATGGTGGCATGTGCCTGTAGTCCCAGCTACTCAGGAGGCTGAGGCACAAGATTTGCTTGAATCCCAAAGGTGGAGGTTGCAGTAAACCGAGATAGTGCCGTTGCACTCCAGCCTGGGCAACAGAACGAGACTCTGTCAAAAAAAAAAAAAAAAAAAAAAAGAGAGAAAGAGGAAGGAAGGAAGAAAATAATTGTAGAACCACTCAGGTATATAAAAAGACTTGTAAATTTTCACAATACCATGTAACCGGGTCTGCCCACTGCCATCATCTTTTGCTACCATTTCCACTGATTTATAATCTTCAAAATGGGCTAGTGTTTCATTAGAGGATTTCCATTCTAGCATTAATGAACTGAAATTATCAAACTTTCTCCTATGTTGATCAAACACTGCTAGTTCCAGGACTGTGTCCCTCAGGCTTGATACAGGAATCTGTATTAAAATAAAAAGTAATAAAAGACAAATTGAAAAATCAATAGCCTAACAAGTAGTAAGATATCTCAAAAGCTAGGGATCAAGTTTTCTCTCAATATTTTTACCTTAACAATTTGCAAACTTACAGCTATATTGAAATAATACAATAAATACCTATATACATACACTTCACCTGGATCCACCAGTTCTTAACATTTAGTTACATTTGCCTTTTCTCTCTCTCCCTCTCCTTCCTCACCTTCCATATATGGTTGTTATTTTTGTTTTGTTGATGTATAGGCATCATTGGACTTTACCCCTAAATATTTCAGCATGTATCCTAAGAATATGAGAACATTCTGCTATGTAAGAGACAGGATATCACACACAACAATATTAACACTAATTCAATGTCATCAAATGTATGATCAATATTTTCATTTCCCAAAACGTCACCCCCAAATGTTTTTGTATGTTTTTTAGTTTAGATCTAGAAGTTAATCAAGATTTATGTATGCATTGTATTTGGTTGTTTACCTCTTTAGTATATATTTTAATCTAGAAAAGGCACATTTGCCCTTTTTTGTTATTGTTTTGAATTTTTTGTAAAGTACAGGTGTTTATTTATTTTTTTTTTTGGAGACAGGTCTTTCTCTGTTGTGTAGGCTGGAGTATAACAGTGTGACCATGGCTCACTACAGCTTCAACATCCCAGGCTCAAGCCATCCTCCCAATTCAGTTGCCTGAGTAGTTAGGACTACAGGTGTGTCCTGGTGGACACCACAACTGGATAATTTTTAAATTTTAATTAATTTTAATTTTTATTAATTTTACTAATTTTTTTATTTCCACAGGCTTTTGGGGAACAGGTGGTATTCGGTTATAAGAGTAAGTTTTTAGGGGGCATTTGCAGAATTTTGGTGGACCCATCACCCAAGCAGTATACAGTGGACCTGATTTGTAGTCTTTAATCCCTTACCCCCTTCCGCCTTTCCTGAGTCCCCAAAGTTTATGGTACCATTCTTTTGCCTTTGCATCCTCATAGTTTAGCTCCCACTTATGAGTACGAACACATGATGTTTGGTTTTCCATTCCTGAGTTACTTCAGTTTGAATAATAGTCTCCAGGCTGGGCACGGTGGCTCATGCCTGTAATCCCAGCACTTTGGGAGGCCAAGGCGGGCAGATCACCTGAGGTCAGGAGTTTGAGACCAGCCTGGCTAACATGGCAAAACCCCATCTCTACTAAAAATACAAAATTTACCTGGGTGTAGTGGCGGGTGCCTATAATCCTAGCTACTTGGGAAGCTGAGGCAGGGAGAATCACTTGAACCCAGGAGGTGGAGGTTGCAATGAGCTGAGATCGTGCCATTGTCCTCCAGCCTGGGCGACAGAGCAAGACTCTGTCTCAAAGAAAAAAAAAAAAAAAAAAAGAAGAATACTCTCCAATCCCATCCAGGTTGCTGCAAATGCCATTAATTCATTCCTTTTTATGGCTGAGTAGTATTCCATCGTGTGTGTGTGTGTGTGTGTGTGTATCTCACAGTTTCTTTATCCACTTGTTGATTTATGGGCATCTCAGTTGTTTCCACATTTTTGCAACTGCAAATTGTGCTGCTATAAATGTGTGTGCAACTTTTTTTTTAATATAATGACTTTCTTTTCCTCCAGGTAGATATCCAGTAGTGGTATTGCTGGATCAAATAGTAATTTTACTTTTAGTTCTTTAAGGAATCTCCACATGGTTTTCCATAGTGGTTGTACTAGTTTACATTCCCACCAGCAGTGTAGAAGTGTTCCCTGTTCATCATATCTACACCAACATCCATTATATTTTGATTTTTAAATTATGGCCATATTGCAAACAAAAGCATAAAGTGGGGAAAGGACACCCTATTTAACAAATGATGCTGGGATAATTGGCAAGCCACACATAGAAGAATGAAACTGAATTGTCATCTCTCACCTTATAAAAAAATCAACTAAAGATGGATCAAGGACTTAAATCTAAGACTTGAAACAAAATTCTAGAAGATAACATCGGAAAAACCCTTCTAGACATTGGCTTAGGCAAGGATTTCATGACCAAGAACCCAAAAACAAATGCAACTTAAACAAAAATAAATCGCTGGGATTTAATTAAACTAAAGAGCTTTTGCACAGCAAAAGGAACCAGTCAGCAAAGTAAACAGATAACCCACAGAGTGGGAGAAAATCTTCACAATCTATACTTCTGACAAAGGACTAATATCAAGAATCTACAACAAACTCCAACAAATTAGCAAGAAAAAAACAATCTTATTGAAAAGTGGGCTAAGGACATGAACAAACAATTCTCAAAAGAAGATATACAAACATAGATGGACAACAGACATATGAAAAACCACTTAACATTGCTAATGATCAGGGAAATGCAAATCAAAACCACAATGCGATATCACCTTACTGCTACAAGAATTTTTTAATTTTTTGTAGAGATAGGGTCTCACTGTGTTGCCAGGGCTGGTCTTAAACTCCTGGGTTCAAGCAGTCCTCCCACTTTGGCCTCCCAAAGTGTGAAACCCGCATCTCTACCAAAAAAAAAAAAAAAAAAAGATTAGTCACATGTGATGGTGTGCACCTGAAGTCACAGCTACTCGAGAAGCTGAGGTGGAAGGATCGCTTGAGCCCTAGTTTAAGCTTATAGAGACCTATGATTGCACCACAGCCCTCTACCCTAGTTGACAGAGTGAGACCATTTCAAATAAACAAACAAACAAACAAACAAACAAATAAATAAATGAGGACCAGGCATGGTGGCTCATGCCTGTAATCCCAGCACTTTGGGAAGCCAAGATGGGCATATCACTTGAGGTCAGGAGTTCGAGATGAGCCTGGTCAACGTGGCAAAACCCTGTCTCTACTAAAAATACAAGAAATTAGCTGGCATGTGGTGTGTGCCTATAATCCCAGCTAGTCAAGAATCGCTTGAACCCAGGAGGTAGAGGTTGCAATTAGCTGAGAATGTACCACTGTACCCCAGCCTGGGTGACAGAGCAAGATTCCATCTCAATAAATAAATACATACATATATTTATTTTTGTATATGTATTATTACATACATACATTCATTGTTACACTGGAGCAGGCTCATAGGTAAGCTGATTGTTAGCATCTCTTGACAACTCTGAATAGTGATATCATATTGGTAACTTGAAATTGGCCATGATGGGAGTATTAACACCATAGAACTTGGCTCATGTTACAAAGTCGGTCTCTCTGTTTTGTTGTTGTTGTTGTTTTTGGAGAGCCTGTTAAAAATTTACTTGCACATAATATCAGGTTGTAGCACTATTAGTGATGTGAAATTTGATCATCTGCTAAAGATGGTGACTGCCACTGGAGATCCCTCCAGTACAAAGGTATGATTTCCTTACTGTGGGTGATTTGAAATCTTGAGACTATCTCATTTCCCAACAAGCTTTCACCTACTGGTTTTTCTTTTTTTGAGATGGAGTCTTGCTCTGTCACCCAGACTGGAGTGCAGTGGTGTATTCTCCGCGTACTGCGACTTCCACCTCCCGGGTTCAAGTGATTCTTCTGCCTCAGCCTCCTGAGAAGCTGGGATTATAGGCATGTACCACCACACTCAAAATAATTTTTGTATTTTAGTAGAGATGGGGTTTCACCATATTGGTCAGGCTGGTCCCAAACTCCTGACCTCATGATCCGCCTACCTTGGCCTCTCAAAGTGCTGGGATTACAGGCGTGAGCCACTGTGCCTGGCTTTCACCTGCTAGTTTTAATTTCCGTTGATGAACTTTACCAGGATCAATTATTACAAGGAGGATTACAAAATCATACATTTCTAATTCTATGATTCGTTTTATATAAGGTGGTATTTTTCTGGAAAAGAGCATCCTTTTTTCTCCTTCATCCCTCCTTTTCTTCCTTCCTTCCTCAACTCATTTCTCCTCTCTTTCTCCCTCCTCTGCCTTCCTTCCTTCCTTCCTTCCTTCCTTCCTTCCTTCCTTCCTTCCTTCCTTCCTTCCTTCCTTCCATTTTTCTCTTATAATCTTGAGCATCACTATGGGGTCATGAATTTTAAGTTGATATTTCTGTCATTATTATTATGTTTTGAGATGGAGTCTCGCACGGTCACCAGGCTGGAGTACAGTGATGCGATCTCGGCTCACTGCAACCTCTGCCTCCTGGGTTCAAGTGATTCTCCTGTTTCAGCTTCCCAAGCAGCTACAGGCATGTGCCACCACACCCAGCTAATTTTTTTATTTTTAGTAGAGATGGAGTTTCACCATGTTGGCCAGGATGGTCTTGATCTCTTGACTTCATGATCTGCCCACCTCAGCCTCCCAAAGTGCTGGGATTACAGGCATAAGCCACCATGCCTGGCCTCTTGTCATTATTTTTTAAAAGATATATTTAAGGAGTACAAGTGCAGATTTCTTACAGCGTGTATGACATAGTGGTGAAGTCTGGGTTTTTAGTGTAGTAAACATTGTAGTCAATAGGTAATTTTTCAACCCTCTGCCATTATTTTTTGGATGCTCAAATTATCTACAATTTGGAGAGCAGGGGTCCCTTCAAGCCAGCTTCTTTTTAAGAAATCACCATTAGTCTTTGAGCACTTCTTTGCTTTCTAACACAGTTGTTTGCTTTCTAACACAAGGTGTGCACAGGCTCATTGTGCACTTTCCCTACTGAGCTGGAATCAACTCCAAGATGCTCTAAATCCTTTAAATGGGGACTAGTATTTAGAAACCAACATGTTTGTACATCACTATTGGGGTGTAGGCCCTTTCAGTGAGCAGAGCTTGTAAATAAAATTTGTTTAAAAAAAGTATCGTGAGTTGTACAGCAATTTAAAAACATGTCTGTAAACTCTCATATATATGTGAGACATACACATGTATAGATATATATACATATACACATTCTTGGACAAGATGACTCAGTGACTCAACATCATAAATATTCCACTTATTCCAAGTTAATAAATAACTGTAACATATTCCCAATAAA